TATATATATATATATATATGTGTGTGTGTGTGTGTGTAAAAAATTTTAAAAAAAGAAAAACTGTCCCGGCAGTGTAGCCCATCCCCTCTGAATCGACCAGTGGTTCCATCCACCTGAAGATGTCTGAGACAATTCTCATTACCAGCGGTAGAAGCGCAGCACTTGGAAAGGGTGAATCAATCAGAGAGGGAGAGAGAAAAAGAGAGAAAGGGAGAGAGAGAGAGAAGAAACAGTGAGGGAGACGGAGGAGAGAGAGAGAGAGAGGAGAGCGAGAGGAGGGAGAGAAGACAGCGTCGGCGGCTCTGCAGTGGAATACGCTGTTATTTGAGGGAAGGTGAGAGCTCTCGGAGTACCGACACGCGCGCTTTGAGCGAAGATGTGTTTCAGGACTTGATGGTAGCAAAATAAAATAAAGGTAAGTGTCTCGATGACATTCATAGTCCGGGTGCAGTTTCGTGACATTCTGGTGTTTGTCTGGTGTGTCCGCTTGTGTGTGTGTGCGCGCGTGAGAGAGTCTGGCGGACAGTTAAGTGCATTTCACGCGCTACAAACTACTAATATGTTGGAAATCCGCGTGTATCATGACCGGATGTGATTTGGGAACTGTCCTCGTTTGGAATCCGAGAGAGGCCTCTAAAGGTGGCTGATATCCAGGAATTACGCGTGACAACAAGACAGACGTGTGTCACGGGGAATCGATTCAATTCTATTGATTTGCATGATTGGATTTGGTCCGTATGCGCAGTTCAAACTTTGCACCAGCTTCTTGGGATGTGTTTCTTGTTTCTATTTGTGTTCTGTGTGCTTTTTCAGCACAAGTTAATCTAACCTTGGCGATAAGAGGAGCATCCACTGTAGCACAAGCTGTTGACAGGGCTTAATATATGATCCGTTTAACGCGCAGCTTTCACTCAAATATACTCAATTAAACCCCCCCCTAATCGGACCAGTTTACAATGTTAATGTGTGTGTGTTGGGCTTCAGCTACCCTCGCTGGCCCCTGTTGATGACCCCAGATTTGGAGGAAAATGCGCAGGCACCTTGCGGCTTACGCGCGGTGGGTTAAGCTCTGAGTCAGAGCCTGGGGCCCCTCCGGCTGAGAACAAGGAGCAGATAGATTAGGACTGATGAATGAAGATCTACTGCCTCTATCTGCAACACAATGATATGGTTATGAGGGGATTTAAATGCTAATGTGCAGTGTTTGAGAGAAATCCGAACCGACTGGGACTAGCGGGAGGAGATTGCTGGCAATGTGTGTGCTGTGGACCAGCTGGATGATCTCCTGAGTTTTATGACAGACAGAATAGGTTATTAATGGGGTGTAGGAAGGTGAACTGGGGCACTGGGGCAGGATTAGACAAGAAAAAGGTTGGAAGGATCTGCATGTGTCTGTAGTTATGTGTGGGAAGGGGGTGTTGATGCACCGAGAAGCCCCTCCGACAGTGTACATTTTAGCAGATTTGCATGCCTGGAAGGAAGAAAATGAAGCCGAATTTCAGGGAGGTTCAGAAGAAGTGTGTGTGTGTTTTTAACTGGAAGATGGCTTGTGTCAGTATGGATTTCCTCCCATCCTCTCATACTGCTAAAGCAGAACTGTTTGCTGCTTGCATTTTACACCCCGCAATTCAAAGCTCTTTACAGTACCTATAAATTTCTACACCATTGTAGCTAAAACAGTCGAGCAAATGACCACGACATATACCATTTATGGGCCCTCATTCCACTGCACATCCTTTCTATTGGATCCAAAATAAGCCTAGAGACGTAAAACTTTAAGAGGATGGTAAGTTTTTATGTTGCTCGTAAAAGCATGTATTTCATCCAATCATATTGGTTTATGGTCAATAGTGAGGTAGCGAGGCTTCTTTCTTAGCTGATCGTGAACTTTATTTACAACATCACCAGTAACTGCAAGGTTCGGGCTTCATGAAAAGCTTGTCACATGATATCGTATTTAAAGCCAAGGTGCTCCAGCTCGGGGCAGCGCTTCAAAATATCAAGACATCTCACTGCCGCAAAAGCCAGGCCGGAATGTCACCGGAATTTGTTCATCTTGAACTTTGCTGCTACCCTCCTCCCACCAACCCCACAAACCGAAGCATTACCTCACTTACTAAAAGACAGCCCCATTGTGACCACTCAAACAAGACAGCAGTCTATTTAGTTTCTGTGATGTGGTTTTTATGGATGGAGGGACGTGATTTCTTGTGATCCTCATTATTGGGATTTTAATTTTAAATAAAATCAAGAAGACCCTGTACTGAATGAGTAAAGACCTTGAAATAGGGGGAATCTAATGCACAACTTACAGTAGGTCAGATGAAGTCCTGAAGGTGCAAAGTCATGACACCTCTTGACCTAATATGCATGTTATTAAAATTGAACAATGTCACGATTCACAAGGAAAGGTTAACACAGATTAGTTAAATGGGATGCAGGTGGAATGTTTTATTCATCTGATTTCCTCTTCATGGACTCTGTTCATGTAACGGGAACATTCAGACACTGGTAGCTCCAAGGTCTAAATTGTCGGCAACCAAAGGAAGCACATTTGGCAGATTTTCTTTTTAATTCTAAAATGTGCGAAAGGTGGAAAAATAAATAAAATAAAATATAGCAGTCAACACTTTCCTGAAGGATTTTCTGAACCTCTTCTACAGTCTGACCACTTAAAAAAAGAAATAGCATGTGGGTCATCTTGCAAATTTCAACTGTCACCTGATAAATTTAACACACAGACACACACATCCCACTGACTCCTTCCTGTGTCACAAATTAAGCACCGGCTGAGCAATTTCAGTCATTTGAGGAATCAGGCCAAGCTGCTCTTTAATTTCCTAGGCACACCACTTATGCATGGCCGATGAGCTTGATGAAAACAAGCAAGCAGGTTAACAGGGACATGGTAAATTACACCTGCACACCTGGCCTAGAGGGAAGGTGTGACTTTGAGATAATGCTCAGCCCCCCACTGCTCTAACGTTGTCGGAATAGTGGAGCCATTGCGGATTATTTCCAGAGGAGATATATAAAAGTCGAAGTAAATCCTCCAAAAACAAACACCCTAGGTGGCAAAGGGCATGAGAGGAGTCCAGCATATAAATGATTGCCCCCTAAAATATTGTCCCAATGATTTGTGCATCTCCCAAATGAAGCCAGGGTGCTTTTAATCTGGTTAAAGTGTAGTTTGCCTTTCTTTGTCCCCTTACTGTAAAAGGACAATGGACTGCATTAATTCGCTGCTACATTAGAATGCAAAGGGAGTAACTGTTGCCCTAAATATGGTGTCTGCCTGAGTTTGTGCATACCTTTGTGTTTATGCACACGCACTCATTTCTGTGACAAAGAGCCAGAGCCAGATAGAGATTATAGATGACACTTAAACTGTTCTAATCAGGGCAAGCTGGCCGCTGATCTCTTCATAGAGCGGCGGTGTCACTGATTGATGGCTGCAAGACTTGCTGATGTACACGGGTTGAAGGGTGAAGGGAGAGTCACTGATCAGCCAAGAGAGGCAGAGAATTGTGGGAGGAACCTCCGGCGTTCAGCTCAAAATGCAGTACGACGAGGGACCCATCTGAGACGCTGGGATCGTATCGCACACAGTCGCCACGTGCTCACGCCACGCCAGAACCTGGATATCCGAGATTCTGTTTTTGTGCATGATGTGGCACAATTTGAATCCCCGCAACCAGGGGGCAGGGAGTGCATGAGCACTGACCCGTGCAGAGCAGAAATGCTAAGCTCCCTATGATGGCGCGGTGGGTATAATTAGCCATGATTGGTTTGATTGAGTCTTCTGTCCAGGCCTGGGTGTTGGCCCTTTGGGGAACATGATGATTGTCCAGACATTAATTATTGAATAATAGTTGGAAGATTGGCAATGGTTAATGACACAAAATGAAAGCTATAATCCATTGAATTGACATAATTAGAAATGGTGAGATTTCCCCTGAGGAGTATATTCTCATCATGACCTAAAGTGAAGAGCGACGCCTGAAAAAATGAACTAAGGCGATTCCTTCCCCCTCCTACCTCATGAGTTCATGAAGGCACATTGGGAGAGCTGCCTGGAGGTGCTCGAAAATCCGATCATCTCCTAGTAAAGATGGCTGAAAGCGGCTGTTTCTTCCTCGTGTCACCGTGAGTGGCAGTCAGGATGCAGTTTCGGTTTGTGCTGTCTGAAATGAGCTCACCAGAGAAAGCGGTCAGCTCTGAGTGTCTGATATTGAGTTTGGCAAATAGAAGAGATATTATCTTCTCCTGGTTAGATTAAGTATTAGTAAATGTGATTGGGTAATGAAGGCGGTCAAGCCTCAATGACCACCCTGCTTTACAGCTACTGCCGGCTTGGCTGCATCTATGAACAGAGTCTTGAGGGAGTTTGTTTCGGGTCAGTGGTGGCATAAGAGTTCAATACAGCATTGCAGAGTCGGGCTGAGGCCTTTCCTCCTCTGTCTGCCTCACTGGCTGGCTGTGCCGGCCGGAGGCACAACAGTTGTGCCATACTGATGCTGATGACAGTATAAATATTGATGATGGAGATGGCAAGAAACAGAAGCATGAAATTATAATCCTGATGACCAAAGTGTGATGCTAAATGTTTTCTCTCTCTCTCGCTCTTTTTTTTCTTCCTCCCGCTGTTGTTTTTACATGTGATTCAAGCCTGACACAGACAGGTTTGGTTTCCACGGCTCTCTGAGAGATCACAATGAGATGCCTGGAGAGAAGCGTGGGCATGCTGTCGCACAAGATGACACGTAATCCAAACGTCCTTTTTGTAGCTGGTTGGAGGTTGTCGTATTTTCAGGGGCAGCAATGGGGGCTGTGCTGATGTCACTGTGAGATGGCGGCTCCTGAGGTGGGGGTGGGCGATAAGACATGCTAGCAGCCGTCCCTGGAGGCCGTTAAGGGCCCCAGAGGAGGCAGTTAGCAAAGCTACGCGCCATCGCTGTGATAAATCGCAGATTCTGCTGTATGGTTAGGACGATTACTCTCGGTGCCATCACATGAACCTGTGCACGTCTTCACTGTTTGTTTTCCAAGTCCCCGGACTCCCCACGATATATGTAGAGTGTTGACTCAGTTGTACTGGTTTATTTATATATTGTGCCCCTCTTGCATATTTCTCTTGTGGTAGCTTTCAGATTGGGTGGTGCAGTGGCGAGGTGTTCAGGCTCAAATTTCTCTATCAAACTCAAAACAGTTGATATGGTAAGGTACTACCCATACTAAAGCCTCAGTGAGGCTTAGTTTAACTTTTCTGTTAGAATAGAGACTTAAAGAGTTAGAACATCCCAGACCAATCTATCTAGATTGCTTTGGTGTGAGCTGCTATGTACTTTTGGAGATATTATGTCTGCCCTCTCATGAATACCAAAAAACTAGACCTTACTTGCCTTGTGGTGCTCAAAGTGCAAAAGTGGGGTGGTTGAGAAATGTGAAGAATCTTAGTTTTCCCGATGAGGCACAGAAACGACTTGTTGAACTTGATGTAGTTATCTTTAAAGTGACCAAAGACCAAAATAACCAAGAGTTCTATCTAAAGAAATATACCGAAGGCGACCTAACTGATAGGAATAAACCAAAATACATAAACTTACCTGCCCAGCATGGGGAAAACATGTCAAAAGAAACAGCATCCCACCACTACAAACTCCTTCAGTCTATCAAGCAAACCGCATAGCAACAGGTGGAAACACGTGTGGCAGGTTGGAATAGGAGGAAGATGAATAAATCTCTGCCCATGATGGCACCAGACTGTCCTCAGCCTGGAGCCAATCATCTGCAAGCCGAAAGATGGCACATCAATCATGTCCAAGTACCTGCACATTTCAGTTATCATATATCGACACACTAAACCACCCGAACCAAACATCCCACAAGGAGAAGGAAAAACAGATCTGTTACACTCATGACAAAATACCATTGAAGTCGTAAAATTCTCTTTCCAGAAGTCATGATACATTTATCAAAAAAATACTAATTTTTTAAAAAATCCACAAACCTTGCTGTGATCAGTTTCACCTTAGGAACTATTTTCTTTCTACTGTCTACATCGGCCAATCCAGAAAACATCCAGTTAGCTAATATTCACCTGTCTTTGCAGGTAGATAAAGACCAAAAATTAGACTGTGCCAAATACTAAATCATTTGGATATCCATTTGTTGAGTATTTAATTCTGAATTTTCAGATTTGGTTATTTTTTATAAAATGTTGACTGTATACTCAGCTTGTGTGACTGACCTCCCTCACACTCCCAGTAGTGAGCATCACACTTCAGATGACCTCACTGCTGCTAACTTAGCGACTTTGCTGGGAGATTAAGCGACTTTTCACACCCCTGTAGAGGATTTCTTTTAAAGGCATTGCAAAAAAAAAAAAAAAAAAACTCTGGTCAGCATCACGACGACTTCTCCTGGCACAGGAACAGAGGTCTCCCTCTCTCTGCTGTGTTCACTGGATGAGTAGAGCTTCTAAGAGTGACAGAGCAGTGGTGCATAGTGCGAGAGAAAAAAAAAGTAAAAAAATAGTTACTAAATGAAACTGCTCACATCAAAGTTTGTGGGCTTTTAGAGTACCCGGGTCATGAATTCTGGCATTGCTGTTGAGTTTGGATTTTTGAGTACCACAAGGCGAGTGCCGTTTAGTTCTAATACATCCAAGAGAAGGCAGGCATCTGAACAGCTGATAGCTTTAAAAGCAGGGCACTCATACTAGATTAATTTAGATGGATGAACAACACTACAGTCTAGAGGACGGGCATGTATCTTTGATTTTGGAGTGAACTGTTCCTTTAATGGTTGTATTTTTCCTCTCAGCTGTGGGTTTACAGTGACCTGACCGATCAAACAAATCCGAAGATAAAATAGTTGTTGTTTTTTTTTTCAGTTATCACGCAGTTATTTCTCCTCTTAGAGGCGTAGTCATTTAGAGTTTTTGTTTGGCCAAAATCAGATTCGATCCAGGGACTGTTCCACGGTTCCACACTGCAGGGTTTAGCGAACTCACACCCCGCTTTGGGAGCTGCAGAGCAGGGCCGCGGACGCCCCGAGCCCCCGCCGATGTGACGGAGAGACGCAAGATGGTGAGTGGTTACTATGGCAGGTTACTATGGCAACCTCAGGTCTCTGTGAGAGCTTCCATTTCGCACAGCGTGGGAGAGAGTAAGAGAGAGGGAGAGAGGGGGAATGAGACAGAGAGGGAGAGAGATGGGCTGGAGAGAAGAACCTGCAGAGGAAGAAGGGTGGAGAAATCAGCAGAGGAGGTGAGGTGTGGAAATAAACATGCCTTAGGTGTAGAGAGAGGAAAGCGGGGCGAGGAGACGAGCACAAAGGAGGTAGAGAGAGAGAAGAGGAGTGTGAAGGGGGAAAAGTGATGGAGAGGTGTAAGTGATGGGGTGAGACTGAGGTGTGAGAGGAGCCGATCGGAGGGCAGCGAAGACGATCACGTGGCGCTTTAGAGCAGATCTGCACTGCATCCACACGCAGGCCGGAACATTTCAACGCTGTTTTGTAATCTTTCTGGTGCTGCACACTATTTATCGCGCCTTCTATCTCCATTTCTTCTCCCTCACCTCTCTGATTCAGTTGGCACGGCGCTCAGCGGCGAGAGACATTGTGTCAGTCTTGGTGACTAGTCTCCATGGAGACGTCCATCAGTCAGTCCGTGTCAGTGTTTTGTGGGCAAAGCCTTATCGTGTTTGTCAGTGTGAGTGTTTATCTGTCTGTGTATTAGTCAGTGTGTCACTCATAGAGAAGGCTGGGGCGAGGCCTGAATGGATGGGGGCCGAGAGCGTGTTGCTTATCACTCACTCATGAACGCACACGCTGTCGGTTTGTTTGGGAAAAAGACGAAGGTTTATGCGTAAAACCGCGAGGATTCGCCGGAGACATTCACACAGATGCACACAAAATAAAAGTGTACCCACCTCTGCTCCACATGTTGCACGACACTTAGTAAATACTTATTCTCCCTTTTTCCACCCGTGTTGTCCGAGTTAAATGCTGAGCCTTGTTCCAGTGTAAAATCTGGCATCATATGTTGCAGAGAACTCCTTTGGTTAAATAATTCACTTTGTTCTGTATGTTGTTAATGTGCAAAACACCAGCAATATGACAGCATCAGTGCTAAAAACGTCCCATTTTATAACTAATCTAATTTATTTTTCTTTATAGTGAGCAGACAGTTGAGTGGTGTGTTGCAGTCATGTAACAGAAAATGTTTTTCAAATAGAACATATGCAGTCATAGCATTCTCCTTTGCTTTAAAGAATAGCACTTCACTTGCACAGGCAGTTAATATCTTAATCGTTTTTATTTTAAACTGTTGCTGTTCTCATTATTTCTCAGGCATTTGCTCATTTTTACTCTACATTATGTAGCTTGGAAGAGAGTCCACAACTCCATTTGTGAAATCATGTATTGATGACCTTCACTTTGACCTTGAGTAGTAAAGGAAGACTTGTAATGACATTACTTGTTCTAATTAGAAACGAACGTTTTTGTGATTAAAGGTGCTCAGTCGGAGCGGCTAGCTTGGAGTGCGTGTGTGTAAATGATGTAAGTGTGTGGGGGACTCGACTTAATGTTACATATAAAAAAACGCTCTTGTTAACTTCAAAGTGGGGCTGTTGCACAGCATTGTTGAATCGCAGTGACTCCTCACTCCAATTAGAGATGCAGCGAGCTTTGTCCTGATACATGGATGTGCATCAAACCAGGCTCCAACCATTACATTTATACACAGCAAAAAGTGCACACTCTGGGGCTTTGCCACTACCTAAATAGTGCAAACCATTAAGCTCCCTTAGCAGTGGAAATGCTGAAGTGTATTTTGTCCTTTAGCATATGGTTCTCAAAGTGCAGCCCTTGCTATCATAATTTTTTCATAAGAATGAAAAAAAAAAAATAAATAGAGGTCTTTGGCACAAATTCACCCACTTCCAAGATGCACTGAGGAGAGAATAAAGTCAGAAGAGAGAAAAACTCCAGCAACACTCACTTGACTGACATATTTTGGCTTGTGGCTTTTTGCCGGGATCAAAATGGAAACATATCAACTTTTTAAATAAAATAAGTATAGGTACCAAAAATACAAAACTGTGTGCTCACTTGGTGTTGACGTCCAAAGACATTATGGAGCAAAATTTAAACATCATTCCACCCATGTTTCTTCTTGGACACTCCCCTTTGTCTGTGATTGGCCTGAAATCACTTGACCATATCAGCCCATCCTTGTAGATGTTTAACTTTCAGATATCTTTGTGAATGTAGATGACTGTTTTTTTTTCCGACTTTGTACCCGTCCTATGTAAAATGTTGTCTATAACATCTTAAATAAGATTGATTTTGATGATGTGCTCTGATAAGGCAAAAAGTCAAATATGTTGGTCGAGTAATTGAAGTCTAGCTGGAGTTTTGACCTCTTAATGCCTCTGCACACAGGTCTAGATACTGGTCGGTGATCACCTGGCAACCACAAGTCGCTAGGGAAAAATGTATAACAGCTGACTGGATGGCGACTGGTCGCTGTCGGTAGATGAAATAGATTTCAAAGAGAGTGCAGAACCAAAAACCTCCATGTGATGGCTTTGGTAGCCAGCAAGTCACTGTGGTTTGTATCAAAGATGCCAACTTATCTGCAAACGCTTGCCAACTACTCACCAGGCAGTAGTGAAAGGGCAACGCAAACGGGAAAGTGAAAAATGTCAAAGTAAAACTTGTGACTTACTGCTGCAACCAGTACATTTTAAAAAGTCCCATTTTCGCTTTGAAGGCAAACCAGCTTTATTTCTGATTTGCATTCCACTTTCCACAGTTTCACCACCATTTAACAGGGGTAGTCTGCTAATTCTCCAGAGGACTGGTAATGAACTAATCATTTGATTCAGGTGTGTTGACCCAAGGTGAGATCTAAAACCTGCAGGACGCCAGCACTCGAGGCCTGGAGTTGCCCACCCCTGCACTAGACTTTAGGCCTGCATGACTTTAGCAACTCATTTCACCTACCAGCAACTTCCAACAACCACTGACTAACCAGTTTTCCCTGCAAACAGTGGTTGCCTCGGGGTTGTAAAGTAATCTCTACGCCTACTAGGACTGAGGCCTAAGATAACAATGCAATCATGTTATCACATAGTTCATGTCATACCATGATATTGCAGCCCAGCAGGAAACTAACAGAGTATGTCTGTAATTTCAGTTCCCCTGTTTTAGTCATTGAAGCAGGTTAAATCTTCCTAACATTGACAGATACTGTCAATATTAAAAAACAGCCACCTTGGATATGGTTGAAAAACTCTAAACCAGTATGAAAATGATTATTAACAACATAAAGCACTGTGCTGAGCAGACATGGTACACACTCTAACTGAAAGTGTTTTCACTGATGTGTCCATTTTCCCCATGCAGTCCTCAATCATACGCAGGCTCTAAACTGGCTATTTGAGAACCACTGCTTTAACATGCCCAGGGGAAACTGTATTTTAAATGACCACAAAACAAAACAAAAAACCCCCCAAAAACCCCCAAAACAAAACAAATTAATTAATTAACACCACTTTACCAGTATCACAGAAATAAGTTGCCTTCTGTGTAGTTTTAATAAGCAAAACAGTAGTGTGTGACCTTTTCTGTCATTGATGGGAATGGCAGCTGAGAACCATTTCCAAATTATCCCATCTATCGGAATTGAACGCCTCCAAGCTTATTACCCGCTATTATCAATTCTGGCATGTTTTTGTCGTTATACAACAATGACGTCAAACTAATAGTCGAGCTTTTACACACCTGAGTCATATACAGGCCTGTTTTTTTTTCCTACACTGTGTTCAGACTCTAAATAATAAGCAGCTGCACTGATACTGGAAATGTGTGAAGGCAATATATTTTTTTAAAAGAAAATGATCAAGGATCAAACCTATCAGCAGAACTGTTATAGCTAATATCCCCAAAGATCTCTATATATTTTAATCTACACATTCTGTTCAACAGAAGACCTTAACATATATAATGCCTGCAAGCATGTCCAGCTCCATTGTTTTTAAAGACTTCACTACTGTACTAAGAGTACTTTTGCATGATTCACAGTTCAGAATGATCATTATTTATCCTACATCCTCTCCCTTTAATTTGTCCTTCTTCTGATTGGCTGTGCCTCATAAACATCAGGTGGATGAAGGTTGTGTGCTCACAACCAGATGTGTGCCTGATGTGACTATTTTAAGGACCTTTGGCTCAATGAAATTAAAAACATCAACTAGCAGAAAAAAATGGTTTCAAACGAAATGTTTGGAGCAGTCTGAAATTTCAGCAACAACTGTTACTTATACATACGCTCACCTCATTATTTGCAAATTTGACCATTTTCATATGCAGAAAAAGGTCGACTTTGAGGGATAAAGGAGTGTTAACAGTTAAATATTAAGAGCGACAAAATTCTAACTCATCTGTAAAACTGCCAAACAAAAAATATCCCAAATATTAGAGTTTTATAGGAGTACTTATACTTGCCAAGCCTCATGCTGAAAGACATTATGCACATTAGTTTGACGCGACTTCAGTGTGATGTGAAAAATATATAAATTATATAATTTTCATGAGCAGTAATGCAGTACTAAATGTAGACTCCTATGAAACATAGATAAACTTGATGCCTTCAGGTTCTTGTTAAAACCTCAAAAAATGTCAGATATTAGAATTTATTGCCAAACTGCAGCGTCTGTATTTAGTCCAAACTAAGAATCATAATGATAAAAGTATAATGTGACTGTGACAGCCAACTGCTGCACGTCACTATTATCATAAGTGATTGCAGAACACCCACTTTAATGCAATAAATTGAGAAGTGTCAATGAAGAAAAACAAATAGTCATCTCCATTTGTATCCAGATAAAAATATTTTTGTTCCCTAACAGATGCATCCTGTTACATAAACCAGCAAAGCAAATAGAGGGCTGCGAAAAATCAGTGGATTATTTTAGAAAATGACAATAATACAGAGCAAGAATTACACGTGGTAATCTAAGTTATGACAGGCAGATTACACCCCTGTAACAACTGTAACAAACCAGCATCAATTCATCTTTAGCTGAACATGTAATTATGGAGGAGTGAAAGATAACTGCGCTAGCAACTCCGTGTGTAAGAGGATAGTGTTGTCACGATACTAGAATTTCAAACCCAATTTCAAAACCATTTTCAGCACCAAAAACAACAAAATTTAAAATATGAAAAAGAGGCAAAATTTCAAACACTCAAACTGACG